CTGTGGCCAACCGGCTTAACCGGATCGCGATGCATCCTGGGCACGGGGCTTGGGGTTTCCGGCTTAAGGTTTGGGGTTTAGGGTTTAGGGTTTAGGGTTTAGAGTTTAGGGTTTCGGGTTTAGGGCACAGGGTTCGACAGGTACATAGACTTCTCTGTCAGAAAAGTTCGTGGCCGCGACTGTCAAAACCGAGGCAGGTGTGTGCCAATACCCGCAGAGTCAGGAAAAGACCTTACACTTACAGAGGATTCTAAACCCTAAGCCCTAAAACCTAAGCCCTAATCCTTAAAGCCTTCATGAACAAATTGCTTCTTCGATTCGACCCATTCCTCTCCCCCCTTTTCTTGCGTGCAGAGCTCAACGCCGGTAGGGAGAGAAGCTTCCAGCCAGCCACGACGGCGGTCTTGTAGGGATCGTGGACCTCGGTGTAGGGGTTCAGGATTCGGAACCCTAACCCCTAGACCCCTAAACCCTAAACCCCTAAACCCCTAACTAAACCCTAGACCCCTAAACCCCTAAAAACCCTAAACCCTAAACCCCTAAACCCCTAAACCCTAGACCCCTAAACCCCGAAAAACCCCTAAACCCTGAACCCTGAACCCTTATTGGGTTCTTTCAGTCAGTTCATCCTGCACAGGCTCCTGTAAGTGTGCCTAGAAGCACCCCTTGAAGGGGTTTCAGACTGGCAGAATGAGGAAAGGGAGAGAGATTCTGAAAACCAGGAGATCTTACGGCGGGGGGTCCTTGCAATAGCTCTTTTCAGCACGGTTCTACACTGGAGCCCCGGTACTTTTCCTGAAGCTCACAAGAGTTTTGGGCAAGATTTTGGTTCTTGGACAACATGAATTCACAGTAGCCTTTAGGGTTCGGGTAACGTGACTTCTCCCATTGACTGGAGCAATGTAGGTTTAGGGTTTAGGGCTGCTGGCCGCAAGTCATGAATGTACACCGACCTCGGGGTTCTGGGTTTGGGGGGGCTGGGGGGATGGGGACGCCTATAGGAACTTTCAAGGGGAGCGCTTAGAGGACCGGGAGCCTGATTACAGGGTTTTCCACAACTCCTGGAGAGACAAACCCTAAGATAGTATGATGTACCTTTACGGGTTCCTGTAAAGGGTCCTTTAAGGGTTTTATGAGGGTACCATAAGGGTTTAGGGTTTAAGGGTCCTTGTGCCCAAATAGAATCTACTTCGGCTCCAAAGTACCTTTGTAGGGACTGTACCTTAAGGCCCATGTATATACGACATGACTACGAGGACCCTCAGGGAAACACAACAAGCAGAAGGTGGGGGCTTCTGAGGGCATGAGATTACCAACACCCCCCGACTACCGCTTGCTAGACCATTGAAGGACCATGAAACCCCTAGTGAGGCGTACTTGGGGAGGGGGAGGGGGGGGGGTTACTAGTAGGTTTCGGGTTTAAGGGCTTAGGGTCTGGTTTATGAGGTTTAGATTTTCGCACTACCAGGCTAGAGGTCTGCGCGATTGTGAAGTCAATATAGCAAGCAGCAGCATTCCACATCAAACACATGAACACAGAACCGACGTTACGGTGCTATAACAAACCACCAGCCACAGACCTCTGGCGTTTGTAGGGTTTGCATTTAGCGCTGGCAGTCTCGAGTCAGGCGTGCCACTTCTGAGAAGTGAAAGGTGGCAAAGGTAATGCAAAGTATACCCCAAAAAGTTGGAAAACGGATTCCGGCCAAATAGTGCTGGGATTCCCTATACGTTAGAATGAAGGATTGAGGCTTTTTGGGCTTCTACTGCAGGGGCCCTGAATAAGTAATCAGTAACGACCGAGTCACCATACAATTCTACTAAACTGTGCTCCAAGATCCTGTTCAAATCATGAGGGCCCCTAGATTAGAGTTCAAGAGAAGGCACCACATCGGCGGAGAACTCAACGCCATGGAACTTCAGAGATTGCCTGTGAGTAGAGTGGAACTCAGGTTAAAGGAAACTACAGGTCGGGAGTTCAGGGTCTGTAGGGCTTCTATAAGGCTTCTGTAAGGTCTATAGACCTTCTATAAGGCTCCCATAACGGGAACTGCCCACCTAAAAATGTCCTAGATAGAGGGAAACTCAGGGCTCTTCTGAAAATTGGGCTTCCTGTCTTGTTGTGCTGAGTAGCTGCTTCCTA